ATCAGGACAGTGATCAGCTGATTGATCAGCAACCACCCTGCTGTCTGGATTTCCACTCAGTCAGTCAGGAGTCTCCTGTCAGCTGTCGGCGGGCGGGGGTTTTCTGTCTGATTTAGAGCCACTAACACTGTTTTTCTGTCCCATAGAGATGGTCAGAGTGATCAGGATGACAACCCCATATCCTGCTACTGAAACACATGGTTAAAGTGCCCGACAGATGGAGAAAGTCAGTGACAGTTAAACATGATGACAACATTTTCTGAAACTTCACCAAGTGCTCTGAGTTGACAAGACTCAACAGCACCATGAAAACATGAGTCATGTAGCTGTTGACGTGGATGTGCAGACACACAAAGGTCAACATGTCTTCAAGCCTTTTTTTAAAAAAGCAGCTGAGGAACAATGATTGAGATTTCCACAACAGCCTGTGGTTTTACTTTGAAACAATAATTCAACCTGACGGTGCATAGAATTAAGTGACAAATTAAATCCTCATTCAGTTGTACAGAGTTTGGCTGCTGGCTTGTCCAGCTTGGATTCAGGAGCTCAGTAAAATGATTTTGACGCTGACAACAGATTTTCTACAGATCTGCTTCTAATGCTGATTATTGGCACAGGGTTTTTAGGAGCCCATTTGTTTCTGTCTGTGTTCTGGCTTTGCTGTCACTATGTGTGCGAAGCTGACTCCAGATCAGTGATCCTATTAACAGGGGTTATTCATTAGTGTCGATAGCAGCCGTAAACGTTGCCTCGGTGTGTGTTTGTGTGTTTTATTTTGGCTGAGCTGAGGCATGTTGACCAGTCACGCCCTGCGGTGAGAACACACTCCATTTACACCTGCAGAACGCCACTTCAACTGCTGTTATTGCTGGAGAGCAGCTGCTGCTGTGAATGCAGCTTTAAGAGCATGAAAACTTACTGCTTTCTAGTAAGTGCTGTTGGTGGATGCATGTTCATACCATATCTTAACTCGGGGGTGGAAAGTACTTGTACTTTACCTGAGTATTTCCTGCTACTTCATGCTATGACTCCACTAACTGTCGGAGACAAACCTTGTACTTTTTACTGCACTACATGTATCTGATAACTTTAGTTCCTTTTCAGAATCAGATGAATCAAACTAAACACAGTAGAATCATCAGACTCTATTGATCCTGGTGGGAAATCCACCAGCTACCCAGCAGGATGTAAAGTACTTCACAGTATAAGTATATAAGGT